ATTCCCGCAGTTGCGCCTGCCAACGTGCGATGTGATCATCGAGGTTCCGAAAGTTTCGAAACCAGATCAATGATTGGTGATCAATGCGCGCAATAAACTTAAGGCCGAGTAAATAGCGCCTAAATTACTTGATGAAAAACACCAACACTAGCATTTCTTTTTGTGCTGTACAATAGTTGCGCTCCCTTTGCGAAAAACTTTTGCTGCCGGACGCGATCACCGGTTCTATTCCTTCTGGCAATCCGAGTCCAGTAATCGAATCCGTCAAGTCCGCCTCCTATTGGTTTTTGGCTCGTTCGGTTGGTCCATCTGCGCAATCTGATCTGATACTGCCATCACAAATCATTCAGATATAGATCAGATCCAAAGATCATGGAGGCTTCAAAAAAGATAGAAAATGTCTCATAGATAACAAGTGGGTCACTGAAGGTATTATGGTGTATATCCAAGAATCCCGTAAAAAGGGAAGAGCTGTTGTTTGACGAAGAATATCAATGAGTTTTGCAACCCACTAGTAAAATATTTTCTTCCCCACGTTTGAGTTGCATTGTTTTTGCATAATGGTGGTGGTCCATTCGTGCACGAACAATGTGGTTAGAAAGTCTCCGGTCTTGTGAACTCTTTTTCGCAATTTTCGCGTTATCCCGATGGGTAAAGGATCTTTTGTATCCTTAGTGCCGTAGGCAACATGTTTACTTTGTGGAGGGATAGGTTATAGTGCTTGTTAGTATAGAGTATAGAACTGTGCTCTTGTTACACAGACATTGGTGCCTAAGAAAAATTTAGCTCACGCGGACGATCGGACCAGATGTTGCCAGTGTCCGATTAATTCCATGAGTGGAATATTGTGTGAAAAGGTCCAGATTGACATTCGATCTGACATTGAAAATAAGGTATATCATATATATATATATATACATATACATAAACATATATTTATATGTACTCAAGAGCGCCTAGCATTTGCTGTAGGGTCTTCTTTTTGTCCCGGCCTCTCGTTTATCCTTCATTTAAAGGAATTTACAGCAACCAGCGGAAGAATGCAACTCACTATCCGTGTCGCATTGCAAACCCAGTAACGTCTATACTGAAAATTCGGTAAAATAACTCGAACTCAATTCAGAATGGGCTCCCAAAAATGTATAACAAAAAACGAGGTGATAACGATTAGTAGGCCAAGGTGAAGCAATATTTGTGTGAGTGGATTGCGACGCGCAATCTCAACGTAGATTGCGGTTTGCATTTGAAATGAGCCCTGATCATTTGGATACTTGAGACTATGACTTGTGTAGTAAATGAATATTGGGTGTTTCCGGCCTCCAAACACCGCCCTCCACGACAGGTTTTAAAATTATTTAATATTAACCAGGTATAATCGGCATCGAAGCTGGAACCATTAAAATGTAAGTTGGGAAACGAAAACGCTTGTTTTGTGGGTGCCCAATGTAATTTTCGCAAGATATAGGTCAACGTCATATATTTTAATATGTGCTGCATTCATAGGTAGTTCTTATTTATTTCTAAGCAGGATGTAAAGTAAAAGAAGAGAACTTTGCATCTTCCCTCCATTAGTAGGCGCAGTAATAAACATCACTATTTAAAAGATAACTGTTAGTTTCATATTCGCGGCCGTTGTATGTTCCTACCATCATATACGGCTTTTCATGCAGTTGTAGTATACATCTTTACTGGGGTCGGTCATATCTCCAGATCTAACTTAACTATATCAACTATGTTAGCAATCTCAGCTCTGCTGCGAAACAGTTGAACATCTAATGCACAATAACCAAGTTTTGAAACACTTTACTGTTGGTAAATATACAATCTAATTGTTAATGCTCTTTTGATGAGGTTTTCTTTGAGATGCTCTAAATCACTTGCTGCGTTATGGTGTAATTATGTCTCTAAGCCGGCATCTTTTAGTAGAATTCACCCACTCCTATACCTATGATTTTGGATAAAGGTTGTGATGTCTATGTTACGAAGAGTTAAAGTGGACATTCCTGTTTTAAATCGATATATGAATCTGCTACCTATTAACTAACAAGTTCATGGATTGCAGAAGGAGATAAGGTCCCGGAAGGCCATTGTCATGATGTGCACAGAGTAGTAAACTTTGTTGCAACTGATTCTTTTATATTTCAAAAGTGACTTTTCCGGTAAGCCGCGGTTCATTTCCTTTCGGTACAGCTACTCATTTTGATGCTTATATCCAGGTTAGTAGGTATAAGACAAAGAAACTAGAGTATTGGTGGTTTTGTGAGTATGTAATTTTTGTAGAAAGGCGAAGCCACGATTAACCTTTGCACAACAATCTGCCTCGACGGGGAATCGAATCCCGGACATACGGAATACTTGTCCGCTGCTCTACCAACTGAGCTATTACTACTACTACTACTACTACTACTACTACTACTACTACTACTACTACTACTACTACTACTACTACTACTACTACTACTACTACTACTACTACTACTACTACTACTACTACTACCACTACTACTAATACGACTACTACTACTAGTTTCTACAATGAAACCAGTTCTAAGTGATCTCGAATAAAGTGTGCGATTGTATGTTTAAAACAATCATTTAGGACCCCCAATGTGCCTCTTTAACAACAGCAGGAAATTGAAATTTATATAACCATCTGAACATTTACGACGTTAGGTATATTAATCCATTTTGAAGAGTAATCAGCAAGGCAACTGTATAGTGTTTGACGGGGGCAACTCATAAGAAGTAATTACCTCGTTTGTACTCGAACTGTTATTGGCCCTGGATTGAATCCTTTCGGTTCAGCCTATTAGGTATTCGGAAACAGCAAGTAAACGCGATCAGAAACTTACACTATACACAACCTAGAAGGTAATATGGAATAGTATGCCATCCGTTGTGAGCGAAAACAGTTAATAGTGTTAAGGGAAGGGTAGGGACGATAAAGCTGTTACATTTACTAAGAAATATTTATAAGCGGCAAACTTTTCTTGGCAATTTAGAGCGGCGCGTTTCCACCGGGATCAAAGAAACAAGATCGAAAGTAGAGAACGGCACTATACACAAATGAATAATAGCGTTTACAATACATACCTCAGTAATGACGGTTCCAAATGCAAAGCAGCCACAATGACAAACACTCCGATTAGTAAGTCAACAAGATAGGCTTCAGAACGCCCGGGTACGAAGTGACGACACTAAAATGCCCGGTGTAGTTACGTACAAGTAAATGTACAGGATTGCCGGACCACGCAAATGAAACGAGGGTTGGTTGAGAGTAGTTATGAGACCAAACTGTTTGCAGTGTTCACTAAATGGGTGCTAGATACGCAGGTGCATTTGAGCGAGTTAAAAAACGACCATAACCGGTGCGAAACAAAGACATAGAAGCAAGTAGTAGTCATGCAGAAGCGAGGTGCTAATGTTAGTGAGCGTATCATGGAACGAGTATGAAGGGAGTTCCACAAAGGAGGGGGGAGACATAAACGTGTCATGGCACTTGGAATCGGAACGGCATTTTAGAGAATGGGTGCACCCAGCTTGGATTGAGGCAGTCAATGGCACACACAGGGTTGGGATAAATGGCCAAAAGGGAAAAGTCCGACAGCGCTTCTTGCAGCAATGGTATGTAGTTCAAGTAAGTACCGATGAGATGTACATGCAGTTGAAGTGCTAAACTGATTGTACGTTAAAAACGACTATGTAATCGTGTTTTGTTGACATGGCAAAGTATTCTCTATATTGTAGACGGTTTGAAGTTGCCAAAACGGTAAGTGGATACCCCCTACATGGGCACAATTTCCAAGATCCAACCCCTGACGTGTCGTTGCCTGATTTTATTGGGAGCGCTTGAAGACAAGAAAAGACTGTAACGAATGAGCACATAAGATGGAAATGACATACCACTACTCCTGTGTATTCCCACAGTAATAATTTTTAAGAAACTTTTACTACCACTGATTCAAGACGCCACGCTATGAGTAGTTTGTTTTCACGAGCAACCCTAACTTGTAAACTGCTTAAAAACAACTCGCAATTGTGACAATGTGCAGAACAGGAAGCGACATTAAATAGGCCGCGGTAAGACGAACTGTGGACATCAAGTGATAAGGAAGCAACCTGTCAATAAGTCTACTCTTGTAGTTATACCTAGGCATAAGCCCACCTAAACAATTTCTCGATGGACATGGGTAGTAGCTGATGGAATTCATTTGTATATGTTGAAAGACATTTATGTTCAGCAGGTATTTGCAAGCATTTTGGTAACAAGTACGTAAATATTATATTTACATTAGTTTCATTTCTTAGTGATCTTCATAAGCACATACAAAATCAAATTAAAGTTTACGTAGATTTATCACACCATGACAAATGCCGTTTCAGTGGATGCTAGATCCACGCGTGTCCGACTCATACCATGTGCACAAGCTACGGTGGAAAAACTTAACGCAAGCCTGTACTTAATTTTACGTAAAACCTGAACGTGTACCACTGTTTTCAATCCAATTTGCTATACGCAATGTTAATAAGAAGAGGTTTTTTGTTAGATTACGTGCGCTGGTTCACACGTGGTGTTCATGATTGATTGTTCATTCTTCCAACTAAATTCTCTTCCAGATTTGAAGTAGTTGGGACCTATAACCTGTGCCAACCATGGACTAACTTTTAGTAGGATAAAATATATGCTCATTATTTCAACATAATTACAGGCCCTGCTGAGATGATCACTTTGAATGCAAAAGGTGCCAAACCGATGAAAAGGACCCCGGATAGAACAGTAATGCGTGTACTAGGCAATTATGTGAATTACATGAGTATCTGTGTCCCCCGTTTACCAAATTTCCAAAAGGAGGTTGCATCCGTGAAACTAGTTCAGTCATTTGAATGATTCATACTAATTAACGACAGTGACTGAATATATCATGCATAGGATTCTTCCACTTTACGAGCTGGAGCTGAGTACCGGATCACACAGGTCTGTATAAACAAACAACTCAAGGTATGTATAAATAAAGAAAATAAAGGGGATGTTTATTAGCAATGTGAGACACAGAGAGATTACGTGGCCTGGTCATTTTGTACAACATCGCGAATAGTGGAGAAACTTATTAGCGTTTTACAATTGTCCCAATGGAGTGTCAGTATTTTCGGGCGGTTAACCGATAAAAATTGTACATAAGGAACACAAAAACAAATCGCTTCCTGAAATACCATGAAACAAGAGGGTTCAAAGGAATATTGAGATGGCTGCGACAGCTACAGGAGACGGAAAATGAGAGAGTGATTGCGCAAATTTACTTTGCATGTCTCTGACAGCCGTTAAAGATGCCCAAGATGTTGCCTGCAAGGAGGAAGAGAAAAAAGTTAGTATTGTAGTGAGAGTGAAAACAGTGGGGAGAAAACTTTCTACCTTACTCGCATTGGACGTGGGATCATGCGGCTATACACCCCGTTGGTCCTGGCCCACATCCATATGAAACTGTTCCCGAATGAGTATTCCCGTTAGTTGGTGTAACCCCATGTCCAAACTGATCAGTGTACCTCAACAGGAAACAAGCCACAATTATTCTCCCAGGTTCCGAAGTATAAGGATCCGGTCACCAAAAGAGACTCGCAAGAAGGTAGCAAGTAGTTCCAGTACAATCCCTTCATAAAACTAATAGGCAGTGAGCTCTTGGAGATTTAGCATCAAACGTGTTTTCAAATGAAAAATTTGTTGCTTAGCTTGTGTGTTCCTTCTAGCCGATTTCGCGGCTAGTATCCTTATGACGTGACTGTCTTCGCAGCACTGACATATTAATTCTTTGCGAGATCAACCATGTCCTACAAATTAATGGTATTCATGTTCAGTCGGCAATATCACGCGCATAGGTATAATAAATCAAAAATATTAGTGAGATATTCTGTAGTTTCTGCAAGCCCCAGTAAATATTTCACTTTTGGACAATGATATGAAGTTTTTAGCAAACCCATATCACATTAAAATCTAAAGTACAGTCGCTACTGATCTAGCGTACCTTCGCCTCGTTTAGAATTGTAAACTGCTTAGTCATGGAATAGTCAGCGGCCAATGATCATCCGTTTCTAACTCTTCCACGGCTTCGTTGCCGCTATAAACGGAAACTCCGCTGACTTCCCTGGCGAAATAGCGTGACCTGCTTCTTGCACGTGGAAGTTTAAATCAACTGCTCACCACTTGGTTGTTGGGCCAATCGACACTTTTAAGTGCACAGCTTCTTGGACTTGGTCACACTACCGCGAGCACTCACCTGCACCATTGTGTTCCTGAAGTCCACAGCCAAATGTGTCCGTAGGAAACCAGGGGTTGCGAAGAGTCATTTACTTAGGCAAACTGCAGGCATCATCTGCACGGGTTTAGCTAAACAACAGCTCCACTTAGCTGCAAGCTTCTTACTCGATATACCTTGGTGTCATCTTACTCCCTGTATTTATCAAATGCTTCTTTCTTGTCTCCTTCTCGCATACCACTAATTGCCGTTTATAAACTTTCCCTGCGTTGATGGCACTGGTATAACCTACATTTGACCCGTCCTCCATCAACTTGCCCATTTCCATACGCTACTGTCTCTTGGTGCAGTAGTATCTTTTGCTGCTGAGCAGAATTTTAGTAACACTGATCTTTTCTAAAAACAGAAGACAGCCGTTCCAGTATGAACGAAACATGGGCGAGGTCTGTGACAATCTCCTTACCTACAGTTTCGTGGCACTATCCAAACCTCCTCCAACTTGACTCGGGTTGTAGCCCGAAGCGACACTTGATCAAAACTGTGTAATTATTTTCTAATAAACCTTTTTGGTTGAATCGTAACGGCCGCCAACTGATTGGTACAAATTCCATATTCTTTGGCCGAAAATCTCAAGTCTACAGCTAATAGAATTAAGAAATACTACAATTTTCATAATGTCAATGACGTGGAATATTAATTTCCATCAGGATGGTTTGCTTTAGTGTAAGTCATGCTGGAACTCCAGGTCAATTTCCAATTTACGGTCGGTGTGCGCGTTTTCAGGAGAACTTGGGCTATCTCGCTCTTTGAATTGGTCAATAGGACACGACCGGCTGATTAGGCGCCCTTAACCGGCGACGCTGAGTAGCATGTTAGAAAGGACTCAATACCGACGAACTTTAGGCTTGTTTCCCCTTGGTATGAAAAAAGGCAGAACCCTCCGCTGGCTAGCAGGGAATTTTTGAATGGGGAGTAAAAAGTGGTGCAGGAAATGTGTTTGTCACGTGCAGCGGTTAGGAAGCAGTTTCGAAATTTTTGTGCATATTTTACAGTTCGGTCGAACATTTTTTATGTGGCTTCTCTGTAAACCATTGTGGTCAACCTGCGAATAAGTACAACGTTCTGACTTCTAAAACAGGTCCTTATCCGAATGTTCGTTGGCCAGCGAATGGAAATGCTCAGGAGCATAGTCAATTTCAGAAGGTGGTACCTCAGGAAATTGAACAACTACAGGCTGATTTGTCTGACACATATTTTGGTCAAGGTTGCCAAGACAATGGTGAAGAATGGTCTACTACATCTGCCCCAACCAAAAGATCTACTGACGCCTGCACAGCACGGTTTCATGCTAGGCCGCTCAGGAAATACTAAGTTGTTGGTGACAAGGCGTTAATGGTTGTATCAATGAAACGAGCGCAGTCTGTCGATTTCAGTGAAGCGTTCGACAAGGTAAATTATGCGGTCCTCCTCTACATGCTTAGAATGTGCGCTGTTGGTGGATCACTACACCAGTGGATCCAGGACTATATCGTTGGTCGAAAGTGAAGGGTCCACGTCGACGGCCATCTAACTGACTGGGATCCCTCTACAGGTGGCGTACCGTAAGTCACAGCGCTGTGCTTCATTATATTTTAAACCTATATCAACGACCTGCCTCGGCTTCTTTGGTCATCTTGTGCCCTGTGTGCAGAACACCTAGAGTCGGTGAGTGATTAACACCCTATACGACGGCGGTCCACAATTGCAAGACTTCAACCGCCTCTCCATGAGGTCTGATGAAGTCCGCCTCCCAGTTAACCAGAACCAATCGGTCTTCGTGAGTCTAAGGAAGGATCGTATTGATAAATCATAGACCATTATAAATAAATAAATTCACATATTTACCAACCGTAACATCCCACACCTTCCGTGAAGAAGTTAGGTGATTCTTCGCGCTACAAACTGAAGTCTGTTGACAACACGAACAGGCGATATCGCAAGGGACCGCACATGCCTTGGGTGATCAAACGCAGCTACTGTACTTGGTCTGAAGAGTTCGGCACTCGCCTATTCTCTTCCATCATTACAGCAATATTAGGATACGGCTCGTCTGCTCACCGTCCAACCATGCGATGGAAGTCACGGAAGAGCGAGCTGGGCCAACATGTTGCTACCTGGCTCATACAAATTTTACCAGGATTACCGACCGAACACCGGTACGAGAAACTAGGTCTATGCACCTCATTCAATTGTCGGGTGCGAGTGGATCTAACTGTGACCGCATGTCACATCTCCGTGACTTCCCCGTAATGAGGCAGCGGTTGAACCTGCGAATGCCATGCACCACGTAAACACGGGTTCAAGATTGTCGAGCTTCAAATGCAGAGTGGTAAATCTATGCAACAGTCTTCCTTAGCAGGTCGTGGATGCCAAATCTGTGTACAAATCCAAAACTGTTGGATTTATTTTTCACCACCTTTCGACTCAGAGAACTATAGTGCATTAGCAATTATATTTTACACGCGTAAGCCTAGTGAAAGTGTAACTCAGGCACTTCAAAATGTTACATAAGCATTTGCTGCCAGGAGATTATCACCCATGTAGTACCCTTTATGACATTCTTGATTTTATGGCGGTGGAATGGCACAACTCCAAGTCTCGACTTGCTTACGCAGAACACTATGCAGAATTTAGATCATGATGGGTTGCACGCATATTTAAACCCCCACTTCATTGGTTTGCATTGAAGATGTTACCGTCTTGTCCTGTATGAAGTGCTATAATTAATACTTTGCTTACTAAGAATACATGCCTTATTATTTTGTCTTAAAACTAGCATCCACCATTAAATTTTAATCTGTCTAGCCACTTCTGACCTGGCTGCCTTCCCTACTTTAACCGCCACAAAATATGACTGCGGTCTGTTAAAAACATCGTATTGTCTGTCTTCTGTCTAAAAGCATTTAATCAAAACAGCAGCCGTTTCCTTTAGCTGGCAATCGTTTCATCGTTAAAGAATTAGCTTTTAATCAGATTGCGTCGTTTGTACCCAGGAGACTTGTTCGTGGGAGCATAACGTCGGTTGATAGCTGCTATTCAGCTCACACGTTACTACCTACTTTCGATTGTACAAACGTCCCAGTGTCATTCAAGTCCAGTCAGCGTAGTCGTTAAAGGTAACAGTATCAAATTGTAGAACATGATTTAAATTGTCAGTTGGATCAGAGCATGCTACACTTTAGCCAGGTCGAACGCTGGTGGAAATACGAAAATGTAAGCTCAAGTCGGACAATGGAGGGTGGTCAAACTAAGTTATTCCCTCAACTACTTCAAATCACAAGTCTTCTTGGACGTTGGAAAGGATATGGGGGAGCTAAACAATGCACAAATCCGTTGCAAAAAATAACGGCGGAAAAGTAAATATGATTACCTTGCGCACCCAGTTAATTCTGCCTAACAGAAAATGGCCCACGCTTAAACCGTAAGGCAAGAGAACATTCAACTAAAAGTTATCGAAACACTAAACTAAGGAGAAAAAGCATGTTAGGTTCCATGCATTTTTCGTGTTATAACTTGAAGGAAATAAGTATGCGGAACGTTAGAATGGTTACAGGACTTAGGCCACTAATGATCTAATGTAAACATAAACTGCACACTAGCATTTTCCCTTTCAACACAACCCTCGGCAGTCCAGTGGACTATTCCGTCCTTCTTTGTCACGCTTGCGTGCACTCCTAGGAGGATTTTTTCGCACTCACGGTCTTTATGACACAGTCCACGTCACAGTCCCCACTTTACAGTCCCCTTGACAAGGTTTGGACAGAATTCGTTAATAGACTCAGTGACATCGTCAACAGAGCGTCAGAAAATAAGTCCCTTTGTCCCCTAAAAATGCCTTCAATTCTAAGGGTCAGGACTCGAAAATACCTGGCGATAAGGAATGCAGGATGGCATGCCTACAAGATTAACCCCGACTCAGAGACTTAAGGCAAATTCATGACACATTGCAACCATTGCACTGCACTTGTCCGTGAGGATAAAGTAACTCATCAACAGTGCTTTGCTGAAAAATTCCTTACGTACAAAAGCTGCTGTATAGGCATGTCAATAATCT